TCTTTCGAATGCATAAAATAAATCATCCAAACTCACATAATCACATGCATTTAACTATGGAGACAAGAAAGTGTATATAAATCATTCAACATCCATTAATCGTGTTTGAATATTAATTGTGAAATAGAGAATTAAAAGATCATATTGCGATGTTCGTCGTTTATCTAGTACATAAAAAGTCTAACTTAGCATTGATAAAATAAAAGAACAATAAAAATATTTAAGAAAAGATATCACCAAAAACTTGAATATGAATCTTGAATTCTTCAATTTTCGATGTAGAAATCTATTGGTTTTGCCTTCTCCTTTCTTTTCAATGAGTTTTCCTCTCTAAAGTGGTATAACCCTCGTTTCTAGACGACTTTTGACTTTTATAGTTGCCCTATATTCCTTTCTATAAGAGGTTGAACGAGAAAAGGAAATCAGAAAATTCGCACTGAATAATAACTATGCGACCGCATGGTTATATTCCATGCAGCCACATGGAACAAAAATTAATCTCCTCTTGATTCCCGGTTGTATGTGTGCGGCCACATGGTAGAGTGACTTTCCCACTAGACAGTTTTCAATGTTTTAGTCATATCTTTCTTTCCCGATATTCGATTGAGGTGATTCAAATTGCATTCGAAAGCTTACTCAAAGGGCTACAAATCTTTCAGAAATATAAATCTTCAAATTCGAACATCTTCGGTTCCAAAATGGGTTTCAAAATAAGACTGAAAATTCAAAGTATAACTTTTTCGGTTAGAAGTTGATATGTGATAATACTTCCATTATATTTCATCCCTTTGTTTTCTTTTCTTATCCAATTAATATCTAGCACTCTCAAATCTTCACCGTGATATCGACACAACTTTTCAGTAATTGCACTCGAGTTCTCAAACTTTGATTGTGCTTCATTTTAGTCGTTTTTTTACTTGTTTTCTCGAATTTTCACCACGTTCATCCTTGTTGTCCTGCAAAACACAAATTACATCGAATTAAACTATATTCTACATATTTATTAACAATTATTCATGTTTGGGCCTACAATAGATGTGTAAAAATGCACTTATCAATATTAAACATATAATACACATCTTTATTAGTCTTGTGATAGTCAATCGAATAAAATTCTATAAAGATTCAAAACTAGCAATGAAAAAGAATTCAAGTATTAGAATAAGATTAATAAGCCTATGTAGGAGTCGAACCCTGGTTTTCTCTTTTTATGCTCCCAGAATTATTATTGTTGAAATTGTGTTTTGGAGAAACACACTTTTATTAGTGTAAAGCATTTCTCTTGGATGATTGTCACGTATACTATTTCTGGCCGTTGGATGGTGACACGTATTATTTGGACTTGATGATTCTTGGGTGATTGGAACGACAATTTCATTCTTTTTGTCTTCTGGTGCTCCTAGCATTTTTTAGAGAAGAGGGAGAAAAGAAGAAAATGGGCTAGAGTTTGCTTCCTTCGTCTGATACTACTTAAAATCTCTGATTTTAAGTGATAGTGTGATAGTGAAGACCTTCATTGTGTAATTCTCTGAGTGAATATTGTGAGAATCTGTGTGATTTCTCTGTTGTTAGTTCTGGTTTTGTTCAAAAGGTTTTTGTGAAGATATTTTGGTGAATCTCTGTAGATTTATCATTGTATTTGAGAGATGAGTCTTTTGTTTGCTCTCTGAACATTTGTAACTTTTGTTGCCATTTTTGACTGTTTGAGTACAATCAAGCATGATCATTTTCTTGAATGCTTAACGGGGGATGTAGGTATTAGAAGCGTTCACCGAACCTTCGGGGATTCGACCAAAATAATTCTTTGGTGTTCAACTTTAATTTTCTGCAGTTTATTTTCTGTTTGATTCAATTAATCTTGTTTCTCGATACTTATATCGTGTAGTCGTGGCTTTACAACCTACTTAGCATAGTTTAAGGTACTGATTACATATAAACAAATTCTAATAATATATTTTTTACCACCGGAAATCCAAATGGTAAGACAAGAGGAGAGGATAAGCAATTTTTAGACAACGTGTCATTGCTGCTATAAGAGTTGTTATAGCCACCATGAAAGCTACGACAAAAACCTCCACATTCAACCCTTTATTACTCCTCCGAACCTAAAAACTCTTTTCATATATCACAAAAAAACTTTGTCGATTCTGATTTAACTTTCAGTTTCAGGTTGAGCCAAAAATCGACCTTACCAATGTTCATCCTATTGATGACTTCAACTGGCAATTCTGCCGGCACTAAATAATTTCATGGCTTCGCCATTGCCTCTTTGAGCGCTCATAAAATGTTGAACTACCTTATTTAAAAGATTTTAAAAAGAGATACCGAGTTCAAGTATCATCATCTCAAATGAAAATTGTGTGAGTGCCAAGATGTAAATGAAAAAATGAATTTGGATTGCACTAGTGAGAGCATGTTGAAGAAATAATTTGAATAAACGAGTTTGTCTCCTTCCCAAAAACTTAAACCATTAGAGTTATTTCAGTGTAGACAAATGTCTTCAATTCAAGTCACGCCTATTTATGAAAATTGTACACGTGACATGTCATTATGTGGGGGCCAAGTCGGAGACTTGCATAATTTAAGTGCATATTTATGAATGACATGCATAATTCAAGTGCGTAGAATATGCCTAGTCAATGTCAACTCGATCCAAATTTAGGAAAATTGTACACATGACATGTCATTATGTCCTCAATTCAAGTCACCTATTTATGATAATTATAAACTTTGACAAATATTACCTGTTTGACAAATATGCACTTAAATTATGCATAGAAGGCCACTGCACCAGCTATGGCCCGGAGAGAATATGCCTAGTCAATGTCAACTCGATCCAAATTCAAAACTAGAAATTTAAATGACCCCATAAGATTATTAAGAATGTTTGACGTTGCTTTCCAAAAAAAAAAATACAAAATAAAAAAAATAAAGAATGAATGAATGAAGAGGAATTTGCATTGCACAAGAAAGGCATGTAGAAGACATAATTTGGATAAATAAATTTGTCCGCTATCAAAAAACATAAATCTTTAGATTAGGTCGTTCAGTGTAGACAAATATCCTTAATTCAAATAACATATTTACAATAATTATGCATGTGGCGTGTCTTTAATTAAAAAACGAAGCTTGTTTTCTATGTGCAGGCGTGTAGGAGACCTGCATACACGTTTGTCAAAGTTTATTATTTTTTATAAACATTAGGTCTCAAGGAATATATGATTAAAATTATATAAAACTTGTGGATCGTACGGATTGTGTGATTAAGCTTTAGGAAATATGTACGAAACATATAAGTTTACGTCCATCTATAACTTTTAAATTTTAGATAATTTGGTTCAATAGTTATGCACAAGCTTGGGTTGAACATTTAATAATACATATTAAAGACACTGAACCAGCTATAAACCGAAGAATGTGCATAGTCAAAGTGAACTTGATCCTAAAAGATTATTAAGAATGTTTAAAGGTGCTTTCAAGGGTCCCCGGTGGGGGGGGGGGGGGGGGGGGNGGGGGGGGGGGGGGGGGGGGGTGATATTTAGGGTAATTCCACAAGTCATGTTGCATTTTTTATATCAATATTCAACGCTCCAACTCCTTCCAAAGATTCTTATTGTTGGTAGACCCGATTATTGTAACTAGAATTTTTAACGAGTAGACTGTTTTAAAATGTGTTGTTGAGTCTGATGGTTTAACTTTTAATAAAAAGTATTACGAATATGAAATTGACCGTTTAACAACATAATTAAAAAAAATAATTTGAAGATTTTAATGAAACTCGAGTGATTAAAATGGTGCCAAAATTAAAAAAAAAAAAAAAATAGTGATAAAAATAGTATTTCTGGCTAACTTCAGTGACCTCAATCGTTTTTTTACCCTTTATGGATTTGGACATTTGGGCCTGTTTGATTACACACTATAAAGGCCCATATTCTGATTTTGAATTGACTTCGTATGTGTCAATAACTGAAATCCCTACATGAATGGAAGATATATAAATTGCATGGTATTGCTTCTCTATTCTCTTGCATTTTCTTGAAAAAAAAAAATACTGCAATTTTTTTCTCTGCAAATTTCTATCAAACAGGTATTTATAATTTTAACTCTATACGATTTCCTTTTTATTTTATAGATATTGATTTTGCATCTAATGTGTATAATTATGCCTTAATAATGGAGATCGATATCTGATATAAATTACTTTTTAAGGTTTTACAAGATGAGGTGCCATTGTTTTATGTGAAACAATTAGTTAGATTATTACAGTTCCTTGGGTAATGTTTTCCTGGGTTTTGCGCGTTCTTCGCAAAGCTAACATAATTGATATACTTGTTTTAGATAAAGTGGTTCAATATTAAGGAAAACCCATTCATGAAATTTGTGAAAGTGTTTAGTCTTTGATAAAGAAATGAATTCCACCCACGTGTTCCTCTCCAACAGTTTTCGCTTTTAGATAACGAGTTTAAACATTTTGACGTCATTTGAATTATTACTGTGGAGGTAGCATTCATTCTATCATTACTGCATTCACGTAGTCAGTTTTATTAAGAATCCTTTAGGAATGTTTAGTACCTAGACAATACTATACAAGACAACAAAGAAGGTTTTTAACTTCGTTTTTCTCTTTAATTCTTTTCCATGTTGTTTTTCAATCTTTACAGCCACTAGATTCAATTTATCCAAGGCCAGGATGCGCACAATTCTTATCAATAGATGGCGAAGAGACTTGAATTCAGTCTTTTGTTTACTTTGATATATGTTGAACGACCTTATCTAAAAGCTCAAGTTATTAAAAATGAAAGATTATTTATTTAGATTGTCTTCAACAACTGATACACTCCCCCAAGAAATTAGTGATATATTCTTTCTATTCATACGAATTTTCTACTGTATTTTCTCTCTAGTTATAGTTTGAATTGTTTTTTTATCTGATAGTCACTGCATCTCATTGTCATTTCCATTTGTTTCATGGGAATTCTTTTTCTGTTTGAATAGCTGAAATGGATTCAATGAGAGGACAAGGAGGTATTCAGATGCTACTGAGCGCGGAGCAGGAGGCTCAACAAATTGTGACCGCTGCTAAAAACCGTGAGCTCACCAAAAATATGTTTTTTTTTGTCAATCAAATCATTTATTTTTCCTTTCAGCATATGCTTAATCATAAATTTCTATTAGCTTTGTCTACTTTTTTGTTTGTTCTCTGAAAACTAGGAATTGTCTCTTTATTTGTTTCCTTGTGAGTTTCACATACTAACGGTGGAGTCCTTTTCCTTCAGTGAAAATGGCAAGGTTAAGGCAAGCTAAGGAAGAAGCTGAGATGGAAGTGGCGAACTACCGTTCCCATTTGGAAGCTGAGTACCAAAAGAGTATTTCTGAGGTGGTTGCACTAGACTTAGAACATGTTTATTTCTCTCAGCAATGTCATGCTCGTCTTTGTTGTTTCTTCTTCTTTCATCATGTCCCCAATATTTGGGATTTCATTCACTAGTTAAATGAAATACAAGTAGTCCCCTAATTGATCTATCTTTGCAGTCAAGTGGGAGCTCGGACTCAACAGTTAAACGGCTTGACACAGAAACTGAAGAGAAGATTCAAAGCCTGAAAGGAACAGCATCAAAAGTATCTCCGGAGATTGTCAAAATGCTCATCAACCATATCACGACTGTGAGAACATGATGCATGAAGGTTTGCGAAATCAGTGTACTTTTTGCTTCTCTTACTTATAAATCCTTACCTTTCATATTAGCTGATTAAAAACCATAGGCGTTGAATATAGAAAAAGTGTTTAATAAAGCATATCTGGTAAGGTACGTTGGACAATATTTAATAATATTAAAAAATAAAAAATTTCGTTAATAGTAGTCTAGTATGATGTAATACCGCGTGGTACATACGCCTTATTTGAATATAATCTTCAACATTGCTTGCATGTTTTTTATCCCAGGGTATTCGAAAGTACAGATGTAGTGACATCAGAGCAATAAAAACTGGAGACCAAAATGTCAATTAACGACTTTCTTGAAGTTCGAGGATTGCAAGCTGCCGAACAAATCATTCTTTGATTCATCTATAAATTATTGGTTTTTTCTTTTCGTCATTTCCATTTTTGGTACTACACAGCAGATCTCCCAGGAATAAATTTAAGCAATGGAATCATATGAGAGTTTTGCTTGTTTATTAATTAGATGAAGGCCATATTTTGGTGAATTCGATTATTAAAGTTTCATATAATGCATGAAATATGTTCCTTACACCAAACATAACACGATCAAATCTTCATTATAATTATTTTAAAAATTTGGATTGAAATATGAATGAATTAATAATGAAATTGGAAGATAATATTGGATGAAATTGAAAAGCAATGTTGGGTGATTTTTGTTTAACCATGTGTAAGAACATTCCAAATGACCTTGTGTAAACAAGAAGTTTGTCTGCAGGAAACTGAAACAATTTTGCTTATAATATGCATATGCAAGGATATAACCATGCTATGCATGGTCAAAAAATTTAGCCGTTGGGCTAATTTTTCGTTTGAATTTCTAGTGCCTTAACGTTCTCAACTTTTCATGAGCATTTGGAGCATTTTCGTGGTTTAATATTGGAAATTTATAAATAGGTGATAGATTTCCAATTCCAAATATAAGAAAATAACATAAGATTTCATCATTCATTTCTACAATTGATTTTTCCGATTCTAATACATATTCAAGCCTTTTTCAAGTTTTCAACATGCTCGATTAGAAATAATCATTTTTGCTTTTGTGCTTCTTTCTTGAAAACTATTTGTCAGAAATCCTAAAAGTATACTAGAGGAGGCAATATCGTTTCTAAGACAACGCATCACATACGTGTTAGAGCATTATTCTTCATTTCTTGTTTCTATCTCCTTCTCCTCTTCGATATTTCCGACACCTAGGCTCTCATTTATATTAGAATGCCAACATGGTAGATGGAGATCTACATAGCATCTACACAGAGGTATTCCAGATCATCCTTTCTGTTAAATAAAAAATAACAATGATGGACGCTCATTGAGTGAATTAACTGAAATAAAAAGTAATATTACGTTGAGAATTTTGTGCAGTCAATCGACCTACGAATTGGCATCCTTACAATCTGAATTGTCAAATCATGCTTATGGGCTTTATTGAAGAAAATCTTCTATTTTGGTAAAATTGAAATTGCTATTTTTTTTTTATATTTCTTGAAAGAGTGACGAAAATGTCGTCTCTTATTTTTTTATGTTTCATCGAAAAAATCTTGTATAGTGAGAAAATGCCAATTTTTATTCTCTTCAGAAAAGGGTTTCTTTTTTATTTTTAAAGTTGAAGGTTTCTAAATAAGTATTCTTTTATTTATTTATTTTTATCAAAAATTTAGCAAGAAGTGAACAGAGAAAAAAATAAATTCAAAAAGATATATAATTGAAATTTTTTTCACGGGATAAAAATATTGCTTCACTTTACTTGTAGAAGCTTCATGTTAGTTATCGAACTTTATTTTGTTTCAACGTAATATTACAACTAAATCCCTTTGTGGGATTGTTTATAAATATACATTGCATTTCATTGGTAATATCTTCGGGAAATCTTTGGGCACTTATGTTTACATCGCTAAACATTAGCATATGAGATTGCACCCAACAGAAATTTCCCTTGGTAAATCGAAGTGTTAGGTGAAAGCAAGATCTGTGAGTTGTGTAGAAATCTCTGGATGTAGAGTTAGAGCTGAGTAACAGTTCGAACGCTCGAGCTAGAACATTTGGGATGAGCAAATTATTGTTAATGCATGGCTTTAATTTCCCAATTGTTAGATGTTAGTATGTTGCATAATGAAAGACACAAAAATATAAAGTAAATAAACAATGTCGAAGACCACAAAAGGATGCAATCGTTTTCTCTTAAAAAAGGCAAAGGGACAAACTGTGTGTATGTAATGTCTCATACCAAGAATGGGGTTACAATATATAGGGACAAAAGATAAGTCAAGTAAATGGGTCGAGAGAAATGGGTCGAGCCCATTAATACCTCTAATTGCCCATTAGCAAGATTCTTGGCTCGTCTCTGATTATTGGGCTACCAATTGCAATTTTGGACCGATAATAATTAAGGGAACGATACATAAATTAGGTTTTTAGGTATCACCATTTCAAATTTAAGGTTTGAGGTTTTAAATTTAAAAAATTAGGTTTTCGTTAAAATTTATTTGTGAATTAATTAATTAATTATTATTTAAGTATCACAGTTTCAAAATTAAGGATAGATGCTTTAAATTTCAAAAATCAGGTTTTCATTTAAATTTATTTATAATTTAATTAATTAATTATATATTTTATTAATAAATATATAAATGTTACAGATCTATGCAATTTGGTCACAATTCAAAAAATTTACGGTCACAAATAAAAATTTGTAAGTCACACAACTTATTTTATGGTCACAAAACTTCAAATTATAGGTCACAGATTACTTTTATTGATCACAAATTAATAAAATTGTAGGCCACAGTATTTATTGCTCACATATCAACCAATTTATTGGTCACAATCAACGAATCATTTGTGACCACCACCAACACAACACCACCGTCATCTTCGCCGTCAATACCACAGAAACACACCACCATTGCCGCTAACACCAACACCACATAAACTGCCGCCGGCAACACCAACACCACCATCCCCAATGAAAATGACCTCACCACCACCATCCCCCAACAACCACCACGAACCACCGCACCACACCGAAACACACAGAACCAGTGCAACCCAGTTCTTCGAGTGCTAATAAGCCTAATCCCAACCAGAGAAGCAGATCAGAAAGTCAACTGATAAAACCAAATGGATTATAGAACCAAAATCTTGATTTTCATCAGTCGAATCATTTGTCTTATCCTTCAAAATCCAAGAAGCCCAAATCAGATAATCATTCAAATTCATCAAACATAAACATCCACCAGCCTACCTCAACTGTATCCTCCATGGACGAACCGATTCAGAAGCTATCGCGCAAATGAAAGAGATGATTTATCGCACTGCAGCCTTCAGGCCGGTGAATTTTGGTGCCAATCATCGGCTTAGGTGCCAACGAGGTGGTGCCAATGGTGGCGGTGGCAGTGGGGTGGTGGCGGCGGGGATAGAGAGAGGGGAGAGAAATTGGGTCGGAGAGAGAGAGAGGGAGAGATGAGAGAAAATGAAATAATTAAGGTTTGAAATTGTGTAGGATTGATTTAAATAAAAATTAATTTAAAAATTATTAATTAAAACCTGATTTATGTATTATTAAAGTTGATTTTGGATTTATGAAAATGGTAACTTAATAACCCGTGAGGCTATAATTTCGCGGGGACATGTCGCTCGAGCTGAGAGAAATTGGGTCGGAGAGAGAGAGAGGGAGAGATGAGAGAAAATGAAATAATTAAGGTTTGAAATTGTGTAGGATTGATTTAAATAAAAATTAATTTAAAAATTATTAATTAAAACCTGATTTATGTATTGTTAAAGTTGATTTTGGATTTATGAAAATGGTATTTTAAAAACTTGTGAGGCTGTAATTTCCTCAATAATTAATGTATTCATCGTGGACTTCTAACAAAACCTATGAATATTTTTTGACCCGATTAATCATCGTCGCCTCGGGTTTTATTTGGTATCAAAAAACCCATTGCTAAACATCAGCATATGAGATTGCACCCAACATAAATTTCCTTTGGTAAATCTAAGTGTTAGGTGAAAGCAAGATCTGTGAGTTGTGTAGAAATCTCTGGATGTAGAGTTAGAGCTGGGTAACAATTCGAGCGCTCGAGCTAGAACATTTGGGATCAGCAAATTATTGTTAATGCATGGCTTTAATTTCCCAAGTGTTAGATAATAGTATGTTGCATCATGAAGGACGCAAAAATGTAAAGTAAATAAATTATTGGTGACGTTTGAAGGTTAATTTCATAGGTCTCAGGCGATGATTGAAATAAGAAATCAACACGACAATTAATAGCTCAACCCAAAAACTAAGTGTGCCATTTGAAGCTACATTTTAAGTAATGGTTTTTTATGGCACATTCATTAAATGGATGGCCCATTTTGTTGGTTGCCCTAGTTATATATATTTCTATTCCTTTCTTGTTGGTTATGTGTGGCAAGAGAGAAATCAATAGCAGCCGTTTTCTTTGTGAAGCAAACTGTCGTGATTTTTTATCCCTTCGTCTTTGCGAGTGAGTAGCCACCTTCTCCTTCTCTTTGTGAGATATTATCCTTTGTGGTGTTATACATATATTTGGGCTAACTTAGTGGATGTTTAGTGGGTTGAGCTTTGGATTTTGGAGGATCTCGTTGGTGTTGATATTGGTTTTAAAACTGAGCCTCTTTTTGTACATCAATTGAAATCTATTGGTAAGTACTTATATCACAAATTGGTTTCAGAGCTTGGTGTGCACAAAAATTGTTTAAAATCAATACAATCAAACCTGCAAATCCATTTTTCTACGAAACTAGACACCTGTCGGACGAACGGACACCATATTTCAACTCCAGACAACGACGTGCAGTTGCTTGCCAAGCGCGTGGAGTAGAAGAGGCAACGACGCATGAAGCCCACGAGCAGAGAGTGAGGTGGTGCATGGCGACGATTATGAAGAAGTTCCTTGAAGGCATTTTGTTCCGACAGTATTTTGGACCT